GGTGCAGGCTACAGTAAATAAATGTTGATACCTCGCCTTAGCCTAAACGTACGGGTAATTTACAGTTGCAGGTGGTACGGGTATTCATTACGTAACTTGAGGCCCATCTAGGATACTACAAAGTGATTATTTCATGTGTGTGTTTATCTTGCATATTTCGACACCAATTGTTTTCTTCTGTTTCTCTGTTAATCCAAATCAAAATGGTTTTCCTGGTTTTGAGAGCATCACAGCAATCCTGCTCATAAGCAGATGATTTTTAGTTAGTCAAAATACGGACTGAACCTGGAAAGCGTGGGATGAAGGCAGGGTGCTAAAGTTTATGAAATTGCCTGAAGAAAGAAAAAGCAGCAGAAGATCTTGGCGTTTTTCAAGATTTCCCAGAAATGGTTTGTTCTTTGCTGATCTAAGTATGATGTGACGTTTAATTTCAGACCTGTACATAGCACTGAATTTTCCCTACCTTAGTGAGTCTGTGTACTGTATCTGAAATAGTCTAGAGGTGAGATTGTGGGTGTAATTATAAGGATTTAGGCTTGGAAGTTACTGGACTGGAGTCACTAATTAAAAAAAAAAAATATTTTTTCCCTTATTTGTCTCATTTTAAGGATCATAGAAGAGGAGGGCGAACATCTTGCCCAGAGATGCTTGCATGAGTCAACTGAATTACCCAGTTGTTTATGTATGTTCTGTTGGCTTTAGGTGACCCAGTTAAAACAGAGTTAGCCTTAGAGGTGGAGGAGATGCTTGTTACAGAGAGGCCTGTGACTAAATAAGAAAAGCCTATGCTAGGCTTTTGATTCAATAACCCATTGCTGCTCTCCTTTCCCATTGCTTTGCAGCTTCTCCAAGGGACCACTCGTACCCAGTTCTAGGTCAGTAGAGACCTAGAGAAAGCTCCAGGGTTTGGGCAGCCTGACAAGTTGTCTTTCTCCCCCTCCTGCCCTTTCCTGCCTCCTTGAGGTTTCTTCTTGGCAAAGCCTTCGTAGAACATTGGTTTTTACAATAAATTGCTTCGCTAAGGTGTTACCTGACGCTGGGAAATGGGTCGTTGTGGAAATGACAACTTGGAACAATTTGTAGTGTGCCCTAAATCTAATCATCTTATGGGGGGAACAGGTGGGGAGGTGTAGGGTGGAAGGTGGGACCAAATCCCTCCAGAGGTGGTGACTGCAAGCCCGGAGCTCAGCTGGGAGCTGGGTGCTTGCTGGATTTGGGTGTTTTCCTGCACCCTGTGTGGCCCAGCTGTCAGAGCCGACAGCGTTTGATGGAGGAGGTTGGCCATGGAGCCCATCGTGTTCTGCTTTCTCTAAGAAACAGTGCTAAGGGTGCTGCAGAGCAGGACTTCTCATTCACATCCCTGCTTAGCATACCAAATAAAATAGGTCAGAAAGAGGGACGAATTTCTGTCCTGTTGCCTTAACCCAAGCAGGTTTTGTACCAGATGTATGTTCACTGCATCTGGAGTGTATTCCTCGTTGGCAGGAATAAGGAAAAGGCCTTGAGCCTAGAAGTCCAGTGCTTGTGGGAGCCCAGGCAAAGTGGATGGCTGGCTGTGAGCCAGGCACTCGCGTACCAGGGCTGAGCAACTAAATCAAACCACTGGCAAGGAGAGGAAAGCTGGAGAGGCAGAGCAAGGTGTGAGGAAGCAGGCTGTGAGGTTGGCGTGAAGGCGCTGCAGACCCTTTCACATCCGTGTTCCTCTGCTCGGGCATCCGTGTGCCACAGGCGTTGTGAAGAACGAGTGGCACCTTTGCTCGTTGCCGTTTCTGCTAGCGAAGGTGCCGCTCCGTGTGCTGGCAGATTTGCAGTGCAAGTCATTAAAACAAATAGCATAACCAAATCAGGTAAAAACTCATCTCTTGGTCACTATGGCAACCGTGAGTTCACTGATGGATTCAATTTTGTGTGCACGGCCTGAATTTCAATGCCCTTGTCTCAGGGAGGGTTTACATGTGGAGATGAGGGAAACGCAGTTAGCTGAGTTTTCCAAGTCTGTCTTTCTCCAGGGGAATTGAACATAGATATGTACACTAAATATTGGGTGGGGGGAATGCTCTGTTACTGCTTTTTTTGTTTAAAGCTGAAAGCTGCTGACAGCTAAGGGAACTTTATCCCCTTGGTTTGATGTTTGTTAATTTTATTTTCAGAATTCCTTCACTCTCAGTAGTAAACTCAAAGTAAAACTGCTAGGAAATCTGATTTTTCCTTTCCTAAGGTATAGCAGCAGCCCTGGAACTTCCTCCGCTGTCACCTTGAAGGGAGAATGGCTGTGTGTAAATGACATACTTTTGTTTCGGTGCAAGGTTAATAGGGATGTATTTATCATGGAGGTAAATCTTGATTGCTATTTTATTTGTTGCATTTTTCAGGTGCTGCTAAATCCAGTCCAGCTTCTAAACCAGGATCAACACCTTCTCGCCCATCTTCAGCAAAAAAAGCTGCACCAAGCAGCTCAGCATCCAAATCAGATAAAGATCTGGAAACTCAAGTCATACAGCTCAGTGAACAGGTAAATTTGCTTTAGGCCTAAAATTAGGTGCATTCATTGTCACAGGCAGGCATGGAATCTAATGATGCTCTGTTGAATGATGCTCTCTAGAATTATGAAGGGACAAAAGATTGAAATAGCTCAGCTGGGAAGAAAAAAGTGATCTATTGTTAAAAATAACATCTGACAGAGATGGCTGGTGTTTGCCAGTATTTTTAAAAGGTGGTCTTAGGAATGACAGGTAAGTCTTGCTAAAGTATGATAATTTTATTAGATTTTGAAATGTATCTTTTATTTCACTTGGATAGGAAAAATCCCAATAGTGTCTTTGCTCTTGCTTATTACAAACTTGAAATAAATCATTTTAATGTGTCACTGTGGAGAAAACAAGCCTGTTTGTAATACCAAGGTGAATGAGATTTGCAGCTGAATTGAGACTAGCTCATTGGACCCCTCTTTCTGGAAGGAAGGCGTTAAGGTAATAGCCTTTTTCATTTAAAAATGTGATCTACCTTGTTGAGAATACTTAGTTCTATTGTGAACAATGTTACGCAATATAATTAATGAGGTGTCAGATTTTCTTTTATGTTAGGAATGTAGATTTTAATTTATGCTACGGACCTTTACATCACTCTGTCGTTCCTGGACATGCAAGAGTCTGCACTGGGCATGAATAGATATCCGCATCTGGCTAAAGACTGCTGTCAGATTGGTGTAAATGCCACTGGTATAAATGAGGCATGATTCTTTATTTGTCCTGGACGAGGGAAAATGGAAAGGAAAACCCTCATGTGTTTAGAGCCTGAGCTGCTTGGCAGCTGCATTCAGGAAGAATAAGTTGGTATTCCAGATAAAGGATAATTTTCCACAATTATAAGGGCGTTTCAGTTTCAGACTTCCATTGACCTGAACAGCGAACGTTTCAGTTTGTTGGGGCACTGTTCGTAAACTCTTGGTTACCACTGTTTAAGGTGGTAGATGGGCAGCCACATCCCACGTGTGATTCTACTGCAGCTTCAGTGTATAATTCTGAGCAGCAGAGCACAACAGGGTCCACCAGGCTTCCAGGCGGGCTTTTGACTGTCGCTGTAACAGGGAAGTTTTTAGATGTTGCACAAGGAATTGTTGTATATATTTTTTATAGAATCTTTCTTTTTTTAATCAGCCTAAGAGTGGAGTTCCAATGTCAGCTTAATGCAAGTTAAACCATGACATTTGTACTCGGAAGTCAGAATGTGTTCGCTTCGGCAGGAAGAGTTGGTTGGGATCTGAGCACCATAAAAATATTTGATCTTTACTAAAATAGACAGTTGCTATCACATCCACTGCTAATGTATTCCTAGCATGTTCCATGTGTGAAAACCTTAAGCTTTATATACAAATAACCCTGAGGGAAAACTGATTATTTCCCCATCACCAAAGAGGAGAAGAAATTTTGAGGACTTGGAAAGTTGGTGCTTTAATAGCTAGTTTTTAAGAGACCTCTTTTAGCTAGAATGGTCTGGAAGGCATTTTTTTTTTTAATGCTGGCAGCGTTTGGTATTTCATTTCCCACTAATGGTTACTTGTGCGCCCTGGGCATATAACACAAGCCAAAAGAGCTGTGCTGAAGCAGCTCTGAGCCAGGGTTTTTCTGACCCCTAGTCTGAACATACTGGAAGAGCCACATTGCCTGGTTTACCACTCTCCAGCAATCAGGGAGATGAGAGCAGCAGCCACTTCACCCCTTTGCTGTCTTGATTATGAGTCAGGAAAGTTGAATCTGATATCCACAGACACTATTCCTATGTGGCTGTAACAGATTTGGTTTTTTCTTCAGCCCTTTCATGGATGGCAGCTAAGGGAGATTGAAACTTCTGAACATCCATGCAATTTGTAGCGGAAAAATTTAAGTAGCGAGACGGTCTATACAATGTATTTTACCACAGGGTTACTTAATGAGCTATTCGCAATAATCGTAAGCCATCCATAACATTTTTCTAGTTTAATGGCTCCCAACAATCTTAAAAGTTCCTCTTAAAATGGTCTTAGCTATTTCCTTAGTCTGTGCTAGTAAATTAAACATTTCCAAGGAATGTCACTGTGCACTGGATCTTGATTACCCATAGCATTAACATGCTGAAGGGGTCCCTGCTGGGGTTTTGGTCTGTGCCAGCTAGTGCTCTCCCAGAGAGTGTGAGTGCAGCTGAGGAGACAGCACAGACGAGGGACACTTACATCTGGAGAGGGACCTTCACATGTGGTGGATGGTCCCAGGAACTGTTAATTGTATGCTGTTGTACACATAGTTACTGAAACAGCATTATCTTGGCTGCGTGTCTACAATACATACTTAATTACAGACTCACAGAATGGTTTGGGTTGGAAGGGACCTTAAAGACCATCTAGTTCCAACCCCCCTGCCATGGGCAGGGACACCTTCCACTAGACCAGGTTGCTCAAAGCCTCATCCAGCCTGGCCTTGAACACTTCCAGGGATGGGGCATCCACAGCTTCTCTGGGCAACCTGCTCCATATAATCTCCAACCTGTCTCTGCAGTCCTGTGAGTATTCACACGGCCAATAAGTAGCATCAGAGAAAAGACCAGTTAGTAGGAACTGTTGCCTTTGCACCCGTTAACTGGAGCTCAGAGGGCTGCTTCTGGTCCAGGAACAGAGCATGGAGTTACTGTGCACTGTTCCTCATACAGGATTAGCCTTTTGGCATGTAAATAGATGGAAGAAGTAGCATGTGGATCATAGAATCACAGAATGGTTTGGGTTGGAAGGGACCTTAAAGACCATCTAGTTCCAACCCCCCTGCCATGGGCAGGGACACCTTCCACTAGACCAGGTTGCTCAAAGCCTCATCCAGCCTGGCCTTGAAGACTTCCAGGGATGAGGCATCCACAGCTTCTCTGGGCGACCTGTTCCAGTGCCTCACCACCCTCTCCGGGAAGAATTTCTTCCTGATATCTAATCTAAACCTCCCCACTTTCAATTTGTACCCATTACCCATTGTCCTGTCACTACAGGCTCTTGTAAAAAGTCCTCTCCCAGCAAGTGGATGTACTAATTACTGGAAGAAAACCAAATTAACGTGTCACTGGCAGGGAGCTGATACGTAACTGAAGAAGAGCCTATCTAGTTTGTTGTAACAGTGTTTACTGTATACTCTAATTAGATGTGCACATATATGCATAGTTTAATGATTCTGTTTGTTAAAACAGACTAAATGTATAGAATGAAAACATGAGAATGCCATCCGAGTAAATAGGTCAGAATGGGAGACAGTCTGAGCTATTAGCTGCTAGTGTTTCAGCTGAAGTTTGGTGTTTTCCCAAGCTCTAGCCAGCACAGAGCAAGAGATCTGGAAGCAGTTACGTTCTTGTTCTGCCCGGATGCAGGATCTTGAGGAATAAGCTGCTGCAGATCCAGGAGACACGTCTTAAATGTGAGGTCTTCATCTATAGACTAAACTCTTGTTCTGTTTCCCTATTCCTACTTCCATGAATAAACCGTTAATTTTGAGGTGACTGGTCATTGTATCAGTCATAGATTCAAACTGTCACGGGAAAACTTAGGTGTGTCACCCTCAGGCAGCTGGTCAGAAATGGGTTCCTATGTGAATGAGATGCTCTGAGATCCTGCCCTGCTGGATGGGTTCTGCTGTCTGACACCTCTGAGAGGGCAATCAAAGGTCAGAAAAAGGCTTCGCTAGCTCAGCGGTTATGCAAAAAGGAACTGATAGGATTTAGTAGGCTGTCAAAGCATTGTTTGAACTCTGCTGGTGTTTTTACTAGTGAAGGAAATAAATTAGCTTGCAGCAGAACTGGCAACGCAGAACTGCCTGTGAAATTCTGTCAGTTCACTGAAATGTAGGCTGATGGGGTTTAATCTATTTAGCAAGTTTTCTTTAGAAAATCATTTGTGTAATTGCAGGCTTTTAAAATGTGAATGCTAATTTGGCTGTGACTGGGATTTGATTGGGGTCAGTGTGTTTACTGTAGACAGCTTCATCTGTGATTTTTCTGTTGGTTGTTACACTGCTGTCCTCCAGCTCTGAGAGCCACTTAGACGTTATCCTGATGGCGTATAGCCCGTTGGACAGTAAGTTTATCTCTTATGCTCCAACAAAATTGTTCTTCTTTTAAATATACATGTGTATACATATGTATACGTGTATATATATATAAAAATATATTGCAGCGTCGGTCATGATTGATATGAAGCCTCATGGTGACCAGCTGTGTTGCCCGTAAATGACGTGCAGCAGTCCTAGGGGTGTGATTGAGACTGACAGTGTAGCTGGAAGACTCCCATAAACAAGATTGCAAAGAGGAGGAGAGTTGGCATTTGAGAGAATTTGTTGACAAAAACGGCACATCAGTCAGAGCAGAAAGTCCATGGTGCCAGTGGTCACGGCAGAAAAGTGGGGAGGCAGAAAAGAAGAGGTGAAAAATCAACACAGCAGTACTCACATTTGCAACTAAAGGACCTGTTAATTTTCCTAACTAGACCATTTCCCTTGGTGAGCTTTTCTGCTACATCTACATATTTTTAGGCAAGGAGATATTGTGGGTTTCCCAACAACTGCGCATTAACCCAGGCAAAATAATGCAAGCACTGAGCTGAAAGTTTTGTTAATTACCGTTACATGACACTTCTGGCAGTGCTGTTAGGAGACGAGTCTTAAGTAGACCTGACTCCTGAACTGCTCCTTTGGGTTTCGGTATGAAAGAGCACTGAGAAAATTGACCTTTAAGGATCAAGGTTAAGATGTATCCCAGAGGAGTAATGGGGAAGCCTGATTTACTGCTCTCTATTGTGTCAGGTTCAATCTAGCTTCAGGGAAAAAAAAAAAGTGGACTTCATTTTAAGCTATGAAATTGAATATATATATATAAAAAAGGTTGTTTAGCATGCATAATTTTAGTCTGAGTTGTTTTGTCTGTAGTGCACCTGATGCATGACATCTTGGTTTATATGCAGGTACATTCATTAAAACTTGCACTTGAAGGCGTGGAGAAGGAAAGGGATTTCTACTTTGGCAAATTAAGGGAGATTGAACTTCTCTGCCAGGAACACGGGGGAGAGAATAATGACCTTGTCAATCGGCTAATGGAAGTCCTTTATGCTTCAGAAGAACACGTAAGTTAAAGCTTCATGTCTTTTTTGTAGACAAAACAACTTAATTTTGTAGAAGTTTATTGGCATACTATTGGGTCATGTCCTATATTTAGATCAGCAGAACTGTAGCAGCTAGGATTTCCCTGCCTCTTCCCCGAGGGAGGGAAGTTTGCAATTGCAAATGCAAACAACAGGCTTCTCAGCTTGGGGATGGGATTTGGGAGACTGCCTGCTTTTTGCTGCTTGGGTGTAGGTTTTGTATTCTAGGTTTGCAGAAGCTGACCTGAAAGGGAAGGGGGTGTGTCACAGTTTTAAATTAAGGTTCAGGACCATTTGAAATCAGCTCTGTTTTGTCTTTGCCTTTCTGCATGAAGTCTTTTACCGAAGGTCTTGAACGTGTTGAAAATCACAGGAATTCTGTCAGAGGTGCCGTTCAGTGCCTACAGCTGTGAACCTTCTCTGGCCCATGTGGCAGTGTTGGAATATCTGCAGTGCAGGTTGCCAAAAACATAATTGTATCTGCAGAGATAAAGCTCTTCAGCAATTCTTATCCTGTTGCTATAGGCAAAATTCTTCCTTTTATGAACCCAGTAATCCTCTATCACCGAAATTTCAGCAATGTATTGTCTGCAAGATTAAGCAAGAATCTCATTGCATCTTAGCCCTGCAGACGCTGAACAAAGCAAGAAGCTGCAAAGGGTGCTGGTTAAATTCCCCAGATACATTCAGGGATAATGATTCCGTGGAGATGTGACTGAACTACTCCCATTCATGCTCACTAAATCCCTGTATGCACTGCACTGACGACTGACCCTTCAGTCGCCAGCGGAGGGTGGCTCCGGTGTGTGTAAGCATCGACTTAACCCCTGGGCAGCACTGTGGCACCACGGCTGTTGTGTCGCTATTACCAGGAGGGTGTTGCAGCATCTAAATAAAATTCTGTATCAAAAGTAGTGCTGACGCAGCTACTAACTCACAGGCTTTTCTGAAAAAGACTGGTGGAGCAAAAACCTAAGTTAAGTGCAAGAGGGACACGAGCTTGTCCCTGACAGGGGCCACTGCTCAGATGAGAAAGTGACAGGGGAAAGAGGATTTATCCAATGGCATGGGGCAAGTGCTAGAGAGGAAAAGGAGGAGGAAACCGTTCTTTTCAGAGGAATATACAATAAGACAAATTTGCAAGGCACGTGGTAACAGGCTAAAAGAATTACATAAATATATTGGTTGGAGAAAATGTCTTCTGGATGCAAGAACAGTGATTTATTTATAAAGCAAAGCCAGAAAAATCCCTCTTCTCCCTATACCCCTACCACATCTGTCTGTTGGCTTGAATAGCAAGCGATTCCCCGCCAAGGAACGCATTTGTTGCTTTTCTTCCTGCAGTTTTCCTTATTGGCAGAACACACTACAGAACGTTCTACTTCAATTCGCATCCCAGTGTTTTATCCGCTTCCTCCCTCCAAGCCTTTCTCCGCTGAAAGCGGCACCCCTGCCTGCGAGCGAACCACGTAGGACGGCCGTGCCTTTGTCTAACGGTGTTTTGCAGTTGGAGGGTTTGTCGCTTCAGCGGGAGGGCCCTGCTCTCCCAGGGAAAAGAGTACAGGGGCCGGTTTTTGTGCCTTTGAGCGGGAGACTTGATCGCCTCATCTTCTGGGGTGCGTTTCCTCCTCGTCTTGGCAGATGGACTGAAATTTGCTGCGGAAAGACGCCAGCGCATCTGCACTAAAGCCAAGGCTCTGGTTCCCTTGCTGATGCAGGTCCCGCCTACTTCTTGGTTCAGACTTTGCTGTCTCATTGCCCTACTTTGCCCTTCAGTTCTGGTTTTTTTCCTCTGTAGTGAGTCTGTCCCAAGTTAAATTCCCTATCTTGCAGCGTTTTTCAGGTTAATCCCTCGGTAACAGCAATTCGGATTTCCCAATCCCCAGATGGGAAATAGCCCCAGTTCCCAAACCACAGGCAACTTCAGCATTCCAAGTTTCTTGCTAATGAGTTCATGGTAAATCTAGCTTGGATTTTTTTTTTTTAATCTCTCTTTCAGAGTGTGTCAAGTATACAGAAGCAAAGATTACATTAATTTTCAGGATTTGTGACATTTTTAAATGATATTGTGGCCATGAGGCTTTTATTTCTATCCTTCTTTTGGAAGGGGATGCGCAGTGATGCAGCTCGCACATACTGCACAAGTGATCCCTGACCAAAGCCTTGTACTTGAATATTGTGTCTAACGTAAATGTGTTTTCAGTTCATGGCAATCTCGACCTCTTCCTTCCTACCTGTAACTTGACAGGCATCTGCTCTGTTCAACATGGCATAGAGATCGTGTCCTATCTTTTATACCAACTGTTCCTACTCAGAAGGGATAAATCTCCCTTTATGCTTAATCTTCTGTTACGCTTAATTTAATCCAAAAAGAACAAATAAGGAAGAAAAAAAAAATCTGGACAGCACTGTAAGTGGTCACATCCCTCAGTAGCTCAGTAGGTCCCCCGTGAGCATTGTAGGCTGTCAGGTGAATTCTGTGTAGAATGATTCCAAGTGCAACTGTAGTGTTCAGTCCCTATAAAAACCATTCTCCGGAGGTTTGATTATTGTAGTATTGAATTGAAAAGATTTTTATCAGGTTCATGTCGTGGAGGTGTTGTTGAAACTAGACCGTGATAATTAACCATCTCACTTCATAAAGGCTGTATTTTAAAGACATTATCATCATTATAATTTCTGTCTTGATTTTGGTGAGGTTTTAACTCTTACAGCACAAACACCAATCCATTTGGATTCCTTGTTTCACAGCATCACAGAATGGTTTGGGTTGGAAGGGACCTTAAAGACCATCCAGTTCCAACCCCCCTGCCATGGGCAGGGACACCTTCCACTAGACCAGGTTGCTCAAAGCCTCATCCAGCCTGGCCTTGAACACTTCCAGGGATGGGGCATCCACAGTTCTCTGGGCAACCTGTTCCAGTGCCTCACCACCCTCTCCGGGAAGAATTTCTTCCTGATATCCGATCTAAACCTCCCCGCTTTCAATTTAAACCCGTTACCCCTTGTCCCGTCACTACAGGCCCTTGTAAAAAGTCCCCCCCAGCTTCCTTGTAGCCCCTTCAGGTAGTGGAAAGCTGCAATAAGGTCTCCCCGGAGCCTTCTCTTCTCCAGGTTGAACAAACCCAACTCTCTCAGCCTGTCCCCATAGCAGAGGGGCTCCAGCCCTCTGAGCATCTTCGTGGCCTCCTCTGGACTTGCTCCAACTGAAATATTTTCTTATTGCATAAGTTGCTCTGAGCTATTCTGGGAAAACTCCAGTCATGGCCTCCCTTTTCTTTTCAATTTTGCCTCAATTTGAAAACTTAGCTGTATGGAGTTGTTAAAGTTTGCTCAAGCCGCTCGCTTCTAACGAAAGCAGCTGGGAGCCAGGCGCGTTCTGCAGGGGCAGCAGTGTGTCAGCAATGCTGCTTTTGGAATGGCAGCTCAATGTCTTGGAAAAGGGTTTTCCTTCGGAGCTGCCTACAGCACAGCACTACTAATGCAGGGCAGAGATGTTGGGGATCTTCTCAGCAAACCGTGCTCCACAAAGATGGAAGCCATTCCAGAGGAAAGCTGTAAATGCAGCTGCCCTTAATGGGAATGCAGCAGTATTCCCATGATCCAGCCAGACTTTTTGAGCTCCGGTAACATCCAGGGCAACTCAAGGTACCGGGTCTGTTGTCTCTGAATCTGAAATTGTTTGAAAATGGTATCACCTGCCATGGGATCCAGCTTTCCTTTCGGGCAGGGATTCTTCTCCCACTGGGAATGCATATTCAGAGAGACAGCTCTGGGAAATACTCGGCGTAATAACCAGTTGCAAAAGGGGAAGTGTTCATTAGTGATTAGTGCTTTTAACAGTAGCTCTATAAACTACTGGGCTCAATTATTTTATTGCCGAAGAAACTGGGCTTGCAACTCTGGTTATGTTTTCCACATAGCGCTAAAAGTCACTGTTTTGGTAACCTTTGCGCTCTGCTCTAGCATGGGTATATTACCATGGGAAAGTAGCATGTCTGACCTCAAAAAGGAGGCTGAGTTTACTTTTTAAAGCAGGTGATAGCAGAAGTGTCATGTCCATTTAGTGATAGAAACCTAGAGTGAGGGTTGTGTGAAAACTAGAGCAGGCAGGTTCGGAAATGCTTGGGCAGACTGCAAATGAGAGGAGAGCAGGATGCTATGGGACAGCATCTGAGCTGGTGAGCATCTCACTGTCTAGCTCTTCAAAATGTTCATGTACCAGGATGGTTAACACTCGGTGGTGTTGAAAACTGACACTTTTTCTGCACGTGCCTCCCTTAAAAGCAAAGCCACTGCGTTTTGTTGCCATGTGACACAATGCTGCTTTTCTGGGGTAACGGCTCCATTTGTAACGCCCCCAACATCAGAAGGATAGAAACTGGTTGGAGCGAGTCCAGAGGAGGCCACGAAGATGCTCAGAGGGCTGGAGCCCCTCTGCTATGGGGACAGGCTGAGAGAGTTGGGCTTGTTCAGCCTGGAGAAGAGAAGGCTCCGGGGAGACCTTATAGCACCTTCCAGTGCCTGAAGGGGCTACAAGGAAGCTGGGGGGGACTTTTTACAAGGGCCTGTAGTGACAGGACAAGGGGTAACGGGGTTAAATTGAAAGTGGGGAGGCTTAGATTGGATATCAGGAAGAAATTCTTCACAGAGAGGGTGGTGAGGCCCTGGCACAGGTTGCCCAGAGAAGCTGTGGATGCCCCATCCCTGGAAGTGTCCAAGGCCAGGCTGGATGAGGCTTTGAGCAAGCTGGTCTAGTGGAAGGTGTCCCTGCCCATGGCAGGGGGGTTGGAACTAGATGGCCTTTGAGGTCCCTTCCAACCCAAACCATTCTGTGATTCTATGTACTCGTGCATGAAAACTGGGAGTAGAGCTCGAGGCTGCTGCCGTGGGGCGAGATTACATGAGGAATGCTTTCTGCTGAAGAACGTTTTGGGTTCTCTTTCTCTCTGCAGGAGAGCCACACAGAAGAGCATGAAGGTGAAGAGCAAGTCCATGAACAGCCCCAGCAGCAGGAGGAGTACTGACTCACCCAGCGTCTCTGACAATTTTCGTTCTGTGTGAGAACTTTCTTCTGGAGAATGGAACATGTGTGGCCTCAAACTTGGAAATCAGTTCACTCCCAGTCTGCCATTAACATTTTATGTACCATAGTGAGTGCCAGCCAACCACTGCATTCTGTACCCATCCTTTGCCAAGATGCATTTTGCAGACGTCTTCTTTCAGTGTATCTTCCCGAGAGGTCGGTCGTAGGGCTACATCACCCACTGTACGTCACTGCAACTTCACCACTTGGCTGCTTGAGATTTGTTCCGCTCTTTAAAAACAAAATATATATATTTATTTTTTTCTTTTTCGTCTTAAGTATGATACACTTGTAACTTGTTCTAACATATTTATATTGGCATTTTGTGTGGCAAGAAGTACCGTACCACTAGCTGTCTCTCTCACTTTGTGGGGCTTTTGCGTCTTCTAGTACCTCTGCGTTGGGGCGTAAATTCGGTGGAACAATTGGAATAAAGGATACCGTGGAAGTTGTACTCAAGCCATGGTGCTGAGGTGTGTTGTGGAGGAAACTGCTCATGTTGCTCACGTTTATCCCTGTCCTGCCTTCGCAGAATGGAAGGCAGAGCATCTGTTTAACTAGGAGAGATTTAAACCCCTGTGTTAGAAAGCTTGTTAGAAAGCTGCATGGGATGGTTTTTTGGCTTATTTCTGGAGGAACAGACATCCACTTAAGTGTTTTTTTGTTTGTTTGTTTGTTTTTTAAAACCCTCCTGGTTTCCTGAGTAGTCAATAGACATTTCCCAGCTTTTCTTCCTTCCTGAGGAATCCAGTCCCAGCCTCCAGCTGCAGCTCTGCCTCTGCAGAGCTCAGTGCTGATGGAGGAGGGAGATCTTGACACAAACTTAGCTGCAGGAGGTGATCTCTGCTGTTGTGTTTGGCTTCCCCACCCCACCCCTGCCCCCGGAGAGGGGACACTGTAGACCAGCCACCGCTTGTCGCTCTCCTTCCCCCCAGCCGTGCAGCTCTGGAAGACAGACAACTTCCTCACTCTTGCGAGGCGTGGGGAAAACCAGCAACAGCACTTAGTCCTGGTCCTGAACCCCCACCCCAGCTCCCTTGAAGAGGGCGGTGGGCGCCTCCTGGGTGTTGAGGCTGCTCCCAAAGCTCGGAGAGGAGCTGTCCTGGAGGCGGAACGCGCATGAGATGGGAACCAGCCGACCGAGGGGCACAGGGCCGGTTCTGCACTCTGCTGACCTTCCTCCGGCGAGGCTGGCGCAGTGCAGAACCATGACTGCCTTGGAGATGTCCACGTGAGAGCGCTCCCTTGGCGCTGTCCCATCGCCCTGTTCTCACTGATGGTATTTTATAAACAGAGGTATCTTGAAATACATAAAGCATTCCTTATTTTTCTCGTAGGACGGCGCAGCGTAGTTTCTCTGAATACTTAACGCTTGGTATTCCTGGTTTCTCACTTGGTATGCTTCATTCTGGATCGTTGCGCTGATTGAGGGACGTGGCATTCCCATTCCAAGCAGCAGTCACTGAAAAACTCCCAAGCCTAATGAACAGTTAAATCATCTTAGACCTTCATAGGCTCCTGAAGCCTAAATTTCCACCTTACGCTTCCACAGAAAGGTTTTTCCATAAATCAGCCCGCCAGCAAACACACGTGCACACTCAGTTTTCTGTTCCTCATCAATCTTTCGCAGCTAAGTGGCTCTTAGTTAAATGTGAGATCCCCGCTGTCGTGTTGCACCACAGACGATGTATAAAGTACTGGTAAGCATTAGAACAGGTATTTGCAGTCCCTTGATCGCTCCCCCTGCTCGGCAGAAGAGTTTCTGGACCCTGTGGGCTGGCGGTTTCCCAGCCCCTGCCTCCAGCATTGACCTCGCGTCCTACCCCGGGTGATGAGGTGAGAGTACTGCAACCCGCAGGCCAGCGCTTTCCTCTCCCATTTTCGATTAGTTACGAATAAGGTCTGGTTGATAAAACAGTGTATATCCCCAAATGAGTATTTCTGCAAATCGCCACAAATGGGAGAATTGTCATTTTCGTTGTATTTGTGTTTATTAGAACATATGTACTTCTTACAGTTGTCATTGTAATAAACGGTAGTTCTTCATAATGCTGTTGAACTGAAGAGCAGTTACTAATTTTCTCCAGTCTCCAGAATGTCCTGTGTGGGATTTCTGATGGGGTGAGGAGTTTGGGATCCGGGCTATAAACGTAATGTCATCGGTCTCTGCTTACTGCAGTTCATCCTCCTGCTAAGACTCGAGCAGATGCATGGAGAACACTTAAGCAAAAGCGTTGTTTTTCCCCAAGGTGCAAGCGGCCGGCTTGCTGAGCTCCCCCAGGGGGTTCGCAGTCGGGCTGTTGTGCCTCTCTCTCCTTTTTCTCTCTTTGAAGCACGTTTTCAAAAAGAATTTTAAAAAGCTGAACTTCATTTCCTGAAAATTCCTTATATCCTGTTTCTGGTCTGAGGACCGGAGCCCTCTCACTGCTTGTAGCAAGGGGGAAGTGACTGCCAGAGGGAGCCGGGGCAGTAAAGTACCTCGTGGGCACTATAGAAACTTGGCTGTGCTGAGGGGGGAGCGAGGCTATGCAA